AAAATGGCAGTCTAGCAAAAGGCACAAAAATGGAAAGTGCAAAGCAATAAGTAGTGAGTGGTTTAGTTTCTTGGAAATGATAAGCTGGGCAAAGAGTTGTGATTAAGATCAAAAGCAAAAAAAAATTGAGAAGGGCCTGATTTTAGAGGGTCACTAACTAGTGAGTAGATCAGAAACATATGCTTTATGTATCAGGAAATAGGTCACTCTTATTAAAGTTTTTTTTTTTTTAGCAGAAGAGACACATGAGCAGAGGGATACTTAAGGAAGGTCCTCAAGACCCTAGCTAGTAATCTTGGTTAAGCCACTTCATATGTTGTGACTCAAGATCATATCTATCTCCTAATAGAAACAATATTTGTGCTTTTTCTTCCTGTATGCTGGGGCATTCAAATGAAAAATCTGCTCATATCATCTAAGCTAATCACAAAGGCTAAGAAAACCTTTCTCTTAAAAATGTTATAAGATAAATGTAAAAAGAGAAAGAGAAAACAAAGATGGTTTTGTTTTTATTACTTGGTAGTTTTCGGTTTTTATTTTGTTTTTATTACTTGGTAGTTTTAGTACCTGCAAGCACACCTCCATTTAAAATATAAAGAATACATTTATTATAGGTATCATTTTTAATCTTTTATATTTTTATGAGAGACATAAAATACTTAAAAGTGCCATTGGCTGTACTAACATATTTTGAAAGGAAAAAAAAAACACACAAAAGAAAAGAAGCAGCAGTCAAGCAATCTCATTACTTACACTTTGCAGAACAAATCTTTTTTTTTTTTGGTCTTTATTGGGAATAGCTTGCCTGGGCCTAATGACTTATTTAAAGGGAGGGATTTTTAATAGGCCTAGAATGTTAGGATCCTTTATTAACTTTTATGCTCCATGGATAAATAAGAAACAGTACATCAAGTTTTCCAGGGAACACAAAATCTTCCCTTTTAATCACACGTTCACTTTAAAACCTCAGTGCTTCACAGGCATTCTCTAGGCACAACAAATAAATTGGTTTCTCACCCATATCAATTGCTTACCTTGTTAAAACATTTTAGGGAGAACACACGTAGAGGAGAACTCATCACCAGTGGTCTAGCAACAGTAAAGGAGAAGATAGCACCCTCTTACCAATTCTTCAGGGTATCACTCACTTTCATTACAAAGAATGCCACCCCAGCCAGCTGGACAGGAGCACCCACTCTTTCCCTCCTGGCACCAGCCTCCGTTCATACAGTCCTCACAGCTCAAACTGCAATCATGTCCAAAGGTGTGATCTAAACAGACTGGAATATGGTACATTTTCAGTTAGTTCAAACTGTCTACGCCACTGAAAATGGAGATGAAACAGTCACACTTCACATACACATACACACACACACACACTCACACACACACACACACCCACACACACACACACACACACACACACACAATATAATCCTTCAGTCCTTGAAGATACTTCTTAAAGTCCCAGAAAAAGACAACAGCAAAGAAATATCTTTTAAAGTAGATGTTATTTTATATTTTCCAATGATACTATTGATATATAGCCCCAAAAGAATATTTAGAATATTTAATAAAGTTTAAAAAGTATGAAGAGAAATTATCATCGATTCCACAACAGCAAAATAATCAATATTCCTTCCATTTGGTGCTTTTCCTCTTCTTGAACTTTAGATAAATAGAATTGTGTCACTCTTCTTTCATTCAATGTAATGTTTGTGAGACTCACCCATACTGCTCTTACACTAGTTTTTAGTTGTCGTTTTTTTAAGTCTGTATCGTATTCTAGTGTATAAGTGTATCATGAAGTGTTTTTCTATTCTCTTTTTGAGGGAAATTACCTTAATATGAATAAGGATTGGAGAGATTTGATTTCCGTTGTTTTAAGGATTGTTTCAAGTTTTGCCCCTGTTTCTAGTGGGGTCTCTCAGGCATCCCAATTGAATGTCTGTTATGTTGAGCAAGCCCTCTCTCCGTTGGCAGATCCTGGGCTGCCGACTCTACCTCCCCATCGCCATGATACTGCTGGTAACTGTGCTCAGCTCCTTGCCCTCTTAGCAGCTGCCTTTCAGATTCCCTGACTTCTCTGCCTGCACAGCCCATACATTAGCAAATGGCTCAAGGAGAAAAGCAGCAGAGTTAGTCCATTTCACCTGCCTGGGTCTCTCCTCTCTAGATCTTGGCCACTCAAGTTCTGGCTGCCTTAGTAGCCCTGGACTCTTTCCATTCAGACTTTCAGTCATTGAAGTATCAGAAGTTTAATGAAGAAACAGTAAAGCATTTCTACGTTTATGCAGATGCATTTACTAATATTATTACTGTGATTCACCAAAGGATGAAGATATTTCTGCCATTTTACTGAATACATCCTGAAGCAATCATCAAGCTCTGTTAAACTACAGCAAATAGAGGGAGAACAAAAAGAGCAGCTCTGTTTGACAAAGAAAAGAAAAGGAAGCAGCAGACGGGCTGCAAACTGTTACATTTGAGAGAGGAAATGCTAATTTATTTTGATCAGAAGTGATTTGATGCTTGAGTTCTGTTGTGTGGATATATGCATCTAAGAAAAACTGTTCACAATTTTAAGATACTTTCTTGGTCCATTTGAATATATTAAACAGTTGGTTCTCATTGTTTTAAAAACTGGGAAGGATCTAGATTTCAAGGCAATTTAAAATAAGTTTTTAAATATATAAAAGCGACTTCTAATGGAGTTTTAATAGTCAGAACTGAGAGGTCCCAATCCTCCCCATTATGTTAATTTAAAGATACTTTTCAGCTCCATTTCATTGTATTGAACTTGAACAGCCCCCAACACCATGTACCCACACCTCTACACATACCTACATAGCAACCCTTTATTGCGAAAGGGAAGGAAGACAAAAGATGATGGGTTTGCTAGGAAGCTCAGAAGTGATTTTGGCCCCACTTTTCTTGCTAACATCCCGTTAAAATATTTGGTGGCATTAATTATGGATAATGAAATTGTTTATAAAATAATTTACGTAAATTCTCTAATAAAAAAAAAAGAGGTGACTGCATTGAGATAAATTATTTTACTCACCAACTTTGGGCAATAGAGCTAGTTCTCCTCGAATATCTTTTCCCACTTTGTCCTCATCTTCTTCATCTTGGTAGGTGGGAGGCAGAGAGGGAGCAACATAATGAAGCAGTCTAGGTGGGCTCTTGAACAGAAGGCCTGCGAACCTCACAACTTCTAATTCCTCTTCTCCTTCCTCTAGCTCATCATCATCTAAAGCTAAGACCACACAGGAAAATGGCTGGATTCAACATGCTAGTTAAAAGAAGGAAAAACCGAGCAAGGGTGGATGAGAGAAATGAGAGAGTTTGAACTAGACAGCCAAGGCAGGGGGCCACTGAAAGGAAGAACTCTTTGAGGCCATTTCAAAAAGTCTCTTGTAAATGAGGGTGAGAAGCAGCTATCACAAAGCTGACACTGCAGCAGAGAGAACAAAGGGAAAAGATCTCAGTCTGTGAGGATAGGGGAGGACAGGTTGAGTGAAGGAATATGTGGTCTCCATTGTCCCTGAAGAAGAAAATGAGGGTGGAAGTAGTTTAGAAGAGACACATGAGATTCTTCACAGTGACTTACAGATGCAAGTTTTTCCATCACTTCCAATTCTGTAGCCTTCCTCGCAAGTACAGTGGTATGTTCCAACAGAGTTAATACATACTTGATCACAGACTATGCTGGTATCCAGACACTCGTCCACATCTAGGAACATTTAAACAATGTCTGCTTTTAGGCACTGAGAGATAAAATAGACATTGTGAAGTCATGGGCATATTTGTGTTCCTGTTGTCACCTTTAGTAACTCATGACAATGTACTGTCCTATAGAAAGCTTAGCCTTGGACACTTTCTCAAGTATATCCTGACAATTTTTTTCTTTCACTCAAGTTTATTGTAGTTCATCTACACAGACAAGGTCTTTCTGAGACCTTGTTCATGAGGTTTTGATGAGGAATTTAAAACAAAATAAATTCAATGGTCTCAGGCTGTACACCATTTTGTATAATTTTCATTCATTCTTGAATTATTCCATCTCTGGAATGAAGCATTTATTCCACGCATAATTCTATACAAGGTTTATGGAGAATTTTAGAGATGGAAGAACTCTAAGCTTTAATTTCATGTGACTGTCCATATCTGAGCCTAGACTTTGGTCAATGTGTTCACAATAGTAAAAGTTTACTGTTGAAGCTGGGTTTCTAAGCTTTGCCTCAGATTATGATACCTTTTCAATTTGGATGCATGTACCCAAGTATGTATATTCACACCATACAATTATCTTTTGGCTGACTTTGCTTAAGAGCAGATGGTCGATGAAATTCAAATTTCTTGGCTCCTGTTAATTGGATTAAATATGGTAAATGGTAATATATTGTACTGTGTTTAGAATATATAGATACCATAACTGTGTTTTCTTTGCTGTTACCTACATTGCAAGGCTGAGGAGCTTGGTGTCTATATGAAAAAAAAAACCATAACTATCATTGTCAACATAATTCAGGAATTTTTTTCTTTAAAGCAAAGAAACACTATTTTTTCTGAGGCATGATATTCTTATATATGTTGACTTATTAAAAAAGATCACCTTATGTTTCCTTTGATTTGAAGAAAAATGTGGTTCAAAATAATGGTAATGATTATAAAGTGAAAATTTAAAGATTCCATGTTTTAAAAATAAACTTAAAAAAAGTAAATGATAGCAATGGCTCAAATGAGCTGTTCTTAATGTAATGGTGTAAAAAAGTGAATTAACTCTACTCATTAAATTCATACTCTCTTGTGAAAACAAATACATAATCTAGAAATCATCTGAAAGGTAAGTGAACCAATTTTAACAAGTAACTTAGAAAATTATAAAATTGCATCTTAAAACTTGCATTAGTAGAACCAGGTAGACATCCAAGTCTCTTCAGGGCAAGGCCTTCCCTTTCCCATCCTAACTCCCTTCCTCACATGTTCCTCCTTCACTGATTGCCTCATCACACCAGTGATTTCATATTAGATCTCAGGAACTTACCATCACACCCACAACCATCAGAACTGATCTGAAAGCCTTCCTTACAACTGCATTCATAGCCTCCCAAATAGTTGATGCAGAGCTGGGCACAGCAGGCTTCTCCACTCTCACATTCATCAAGGTCTGAAGGGGAAAGGACATTTCTGTTGTTTCAGAGACAGGAATTTCACTGAACTATAGAATTAAATTAAAGCCTCACTTATAAATTCAAATTGTTTTACTACTCAATTTCTATTCCTCAGGCCACATTGTACAGACATCAAAGCAACTATAACACAGAAAGAATGAGGCTTACATTCGCATTTATGTTTCTTGCATGTTTTTCCTATGCCTGTCATTTATTTTTTAAAGTATGTAAATAATCTCCAAATGCATTTATAAGCACAGGAAAAGAGATTTATGCTATTTTTCCAGTTTAAACAGCAATTTGACTAAATAAACAGAGAACTTGAAGAAGAAGAACAACAACATCGAAAAGCTTGAGAGGAAGAGTCAAAAATTCCACTTAGTGAACATTTGAGAGCAAAGAGGAGGCAGTCCTACACTTGTTCTAGACCTTCAGATGACAGAGCTTTGCAAGGAAATGGAATTCACAAAACTGGGAAGGGAAGTGGCAGCTGCAATTTGGAGAGAGGGCAGACAATCTTTTTAAATATTGTGTTTTGAATTATAGAATATTTCAGAGGCTTTGCTTGAACTTTGCGATGATGCTTTGGCTAGGATGAGTGGGGTCAGGGTTTTTCATTTTACTGTTGGTGACATTACCCTGGCATGTCCTATCAGATAAACAGCTTTCTAAGTGATGCTCTTTAAGTGTCCTTCAGCATTGTTATCCCAGAATTCTACAATCCTGAATATTTCGTCCACATACATAACTGCTCTGAGGAAAATAAAAACGCACCAGAATTAAGTCAAATTGAAACCCTTTAGCCAAAGAATAATCTATTTGGCTTGAGTTCTGAGGTGATCATTCCTAACATAATTGTCCAAGGAGTAGCAACAGACTCTTCACCCACTGCTTCCCTCAGGCTAGATGCCTGGGAATTGGGTGGTCAGGGTTTTTGGCTGTAGGCTCTTGGTTCAATTCCACCTTGTGTTTGTTGAGCTGGTATGTTGGTTGGCCTGTCAGTGCTGAGTGTACAAAGTCCCATTGCTCCCTAACTACATGAGCAGCCACAGATATAAAAGGTCAATATCTCAATTAACCTTGGAAAGGGTACCAGTGTAAGGAAATGTAGACAAGAGAAAGGGAGGAAAGAAAATGCAGTCAATTATCTAAGGTGAGGGGTCACCGTACAACTTCTAAAGGAAGGTCATTTGGACATAAAACATTCTTTCTCCTGCAAAATGTCAGAAGCAGTGCTACTCACAAAATTCTCGGTGATATTTTTTCCTCTCTTTTATTAAACCATCCTTTGTCCTTTGGGTTAAATAGCATGAGTAGAGAGGGCAAAATTGCGTTTAATAATTCCGTTTTATTTAATTTAAAACATTATCCTTAATGGTTTTTTTAAAAAAAAATATATATTTTAAAGTCTTCTCAAATACTAACAGAGCCTCCAAACACATATGTCTCAGGATTCCTTGTTCTCAGATACTAGGAGCACAACTGTATCACAATTGGAAAATGAGCTCCACAGTCTATCAATTTATGATCCATTTAGATTCTTCTTCTATCATCATTCCTCTGGGGTGATTTCTAGCTTGTCTCCTGTAAACCATCCAAGGCTGAAATTCACCGGAAACCCTGCCCTTCTTACATCACAAGCTTTTCTTAAAATGCTGTGTCCCTTCAACCCTTACATCACCTGTTTCCTAAATTCCTTGACTTATTTTCACATCTTATTTGCTAAGATCTTTGCTTGCTAATGTTTCCCTTTTTATTTCCCTCCTCATTGATAATCATGTTTTTCTTACATTGGTCAGTATTGCCAATTGCAGAGGAATTCACCTATTCATAAACATTTAGCTCTCATCAAAAATAGAGCTTCAATTGAAGCCAGGCAAACCAAGTAAAAATTTCAGTTTTGACTTCAGAAAAGCAGGAAAATTAAACCTTGGAAAAAAATGATCTTTTGTATGTGACCCCTTCATACATAGCTGTTGAACAAACTCAAAAAGGATAGAAAAAATTGTGTTTCTAATATCTAATGATTGTTAAATGTAGAGAGCTTACCGCTGATCAGACACTTGGATTTTCTATAGCTGTCTTTCAAATTGTGTTAACACATCTCTAGGTTTTAGCCGTAATACATTTTTGCAGTTGGGAATGACAGGCTGACAATTTGCAGACTGGACAACTTATTTTCCCATTTATTTGTACATTCTCAAATATAAAAAATGTTGATTCTAAAATAAGCTAAAAAGAAAATACTTTAATTTCCTCCAGATATGAATATTTTTACAAATCATCCATGACCTTAATCTGTTCTCAGGTAAATAAGCAAAGTTTGTATGTGTACTCTCCAAACAATTCATTGCCTTACTATAGTGAATATTTGGTCTTTAGAAATGAGTGTTATTTATTGTTAGGAAATGAAATAAACTTAAGCCATAAACAATATAATGTCATGCTGAAATCTCATAAATATGCAATTTTCTATATTTTGACCATGGCAGATGCTATTTTTTCTAGTTATAAATACGAATTTTACTGGATTGTACTTTTCAAAGAATAAGGAAAGACACGAAATTGTAAGTCACAAACAAAAGGTTTAGTAAAAAGACAAGTAGAGAGCAAGGAAGGGAAGGAGGAAGAAAAAAAGGAACCCCTTATTTTTTCCAGAGATATAGGTATTAGCAAGGTAGAAAAATATGAGCAAGTTTTTCATTAAATAAGAAGAAATGAAAGCAATGGGTTTCATTAAGGCAGCAACTATAGACTCAAAAAAATGCAGGAGGCAATGTTGGATCAAGATATACAAGTAATGACATTGTTTTGGTTAAATGATTTATGAAACCAGAAAACTTCAAAATCCCTTGAAGCTCATACTGTCACATAAGAAAAGAAATTCCAAATCACCTTTGAAATTCACCTCTTTTATGATACTCTAGTTTGTCTCTAACCATACTGAATAGCATAAAATGGTCAAACATTTTTTTAGTACTCATAATTTTTAAGAAAGGTCATATAAAGCAACACACAAAAAACAAGCAAATATGATACTTAATTCCAGAATAATGGCAAATTGTTTAGAGGGGCTTGTAGGTGCTCTCAGACACAGAGCATATAATGATATAGTTTGATGCTCACTCTCCCTGTTTTTAGTAGATATTCCCTTTTCTCAGAAGTTCTAAATTCCACATTCATTATGAAGCCAGGTTGAAGTAAAATTTATTTTTCTCATTGTCTCTAATGATATGAGTTCTAATAATATGTCAGAAAAGTTATTTATTAAAAATGCATTTAAGTTGGGATTTCCAAAGAATTTTAAAGTTTTCTTTTGGAATGTAGGTGCCTGTCATACCAAAGTTGAACATGCATCCAAGCCATCACCAAGTTGAAAAGGAAATGCAGCCCTAACCGGTTTGGCTCAATGGATAGAGCGTCGGCCTGCGGACTGAAGGGTCCCAGGTTTGATTCCGGTCAAGGGCATGTACCTTGGTTGTGGGCACATACCCAATAGGGAGTGTGCAGGAGGCAGCTGATTGATGTTTCTCTCTCATCAATGTTTCTAGAAACATCATCAATGTTTTTAACTCTCTATCCCTCTCCCTTCCTCTCTGTAAAAATTCAATAAAAATATATATTTAAAAAAAAAAAGAAAAAAAAGAAAAGGAAATGCAGTCCGGCTGGCATCACTCAGTGGTTGAGCATCCACCTATGGACCAGGAGGTCACAGTTTGATTCTAATTCCTGACCAGGACACATGTCCGGGTTGTGGGCTCAATCCCCAGTGTGGGACTTGCAGGAGGCAGCCAATTAAAGATCCTCTCTCATCATTGATGTTTCTATTTCTCTTCTCCCCCTCTCTCTTACTCTCTGAAATCAATAAAAATATATTTTAAAAAATAAAAGGAAATGCATATGATTGAGTTTCTGCATGGGGTAGAGAGAAGTAGGGTACGTGGTAGCATTTGTTGAGTTACAAATTACATTCTGTGGTTAGATAGGCCTTGGGATATTTTTCTGAAATAAAACTAAGTCCATATATTTTGTTAAATGTTTTAAAGCTCCTTTCACTTTAAAGTAAATATCCAAAGACCATGATGTCTTCTGCCAATTAATATTTCTTTTACATTTATCTAGTAGCCAGAGGCTGTTTGATTTATTTCTCCATGCAGTTTGAGAGATGTAGCTCAGATTACGACAATAAGTATTAGAGAGGAAAGGGCTAAATGAATCCTGGACAGCTCTAAAGGAAGATGGCATTTACCATACATTACCTATGCATGTTTTCTCATCTGAATCAAGCCGGTGTCCATGGTTACAGGAACAATGGGGCCCACCAAGTGCATGTTCGCAGTGATGTGAACAACCACCATTGTTCTTTTCACAGCTATTGACAATTTCCAATTCAATCCCTTTCCAAACAAGCAGAAGAGGGTTATTAGCATAACAGCAGAGAAACCTGAATATATGTCAACAAGAGGAATACTCTGTTGGGAGGACAACACACTTTATTGGAAATTTATCAATCCTCTACACATATAAAAGTAAAAGTCTGAGGGGCTATTAAGGATTGCAAATGTCTATACAATATCAAAACACTAATAAAACTATAAGTAATATTAAGTTGACAAAATGGTGTAGAAAGGGAAATAGTCCACCACGGTTATTAAACACTTATCTTAAATGACATTTACCTTTGGAGATTCTCAGTTTTTTCAGAACATAAAAAAAAATGTGTATTGAATCAGTAATCAGAAAGCACAGAGGTTGTCTGCCAGCTGACATTTCTTCTGTTCTCACGCTAATGGTATGTTATTATCTGTCCTTTCTAGAGGCTAGGAGTACTTGAAAATACTGTTAAAAATAGCCTTGAAACAGAAGTATGAACACAAAACCAATGAATTAGCTGATCATATTTAAATAATATCATTTTAATGTGCTAATTAGCGTTGAGGTATATGAAAGTCACTTATTATACAAACATACTATTACTCTGAAAACCAATTTGCTGATTCCAGTACATGTTAATTTGAGGCATTTTGGGTGACATCAAATTCACCATATGGATGCCAATTATATTGAGCACAAAGGCATTATAATCAATCATTTTCTAAGTGAAGAAATGAGAAATTTAAAAATGCTTTGAATCATTGTTAAAAGTATGGATGTAGGTACTCTGCTATTTTTATTATTGTCCTCTATTGTTCTTCATTTGTGTTGCTTGGACAGAAACTCTTATTAATGAGAATGTCTACATTGATTCATTTCCTTCCATTATTAATACCTTAATCTTTTAAAAGAAGATGAGAAAGAACGGCAAGGGTACTTGGGATTGTGGTACTCCTTGAAAGTCTATATTGCCATTGAAACTGCCTAGGTATGTGCTGTAGTTCCTGTACAGTTACAGTATAGAAATGATCCTCCCTCATCCCTGGCCTCCAGGCTAAAGGAGGCAGCTGCCCTATGTTTCCCAGAGCACCTCCCTTCATGCCGTCATTATCCTCTATTACCAAGCTGATAACAGATGTTCAAAAATAGGTTTTGAATAATTGAATAAACAAAAAAGAATTATGCTAATCAATTTATTGCTGAAAATAAGAAGCCCTTTGCGTTTAGAAATAGCTATTTTAGGTCTGAGAAAAATTAGAAAGCTAAAGGAAAGATTAAAATAATAAAAGGAACTGATTTTTCATGATATGTTAACATATACTCTTTAGGGAGACATCTTTCAAATTTTGGCTCCTATTCTTGTTATTTTTCTGTGATCAATGCAGCTCTAAGACTTCTGGTAATAATTTACTTTAATTATAAATAATATTATTATAACACCATTAAAATATAAATATATACTAGAGGCCTGGTGCATGAAAATTCATATTCTGGAGGTGGAGGGGTCCCTCAGCCCAGCCTGCACCCTCTCACATTCCGGGAGCCCTCAGGGGCAGGAGGTGACCCAGTGATCAGGGGAAGGCGACACCCCCATCACACCTCTACTGCTGCCACTGATGGCAGTGCAAGCCTCGGCCGGCCTGGTTACCTGAGCCTTGGGCAGCCCTAGGTGGCTGGGCAGTCGATATCTGAGGCTTGCCTGAACCTCGGGCCAGCCCTGGGTGGCTGGGGGGCTGAGGGCGGGTCCGGCTGCACTGCGTGCTTGCTATCACCCCAGCAGGGCTGGAAGGACTGGGGGACTCCAGTGGGGCTGAGGGGACTGGGCACCACCATCTTGTGGCTATGGGCGCCGCCATCTTTGTGACTGTGTGATGGTTAATTTGCATATTCCCTCTTTATTAGATAGGATGAGACTAAAACAAGGGTATACTCAGATCTATAACTGCCCAATAGAAGTAAGCTAAGATTTTGTGTCCTTGATACAGATGATGATGTTTAACCATAATACTTAAAATTTTTCACTTTAAAATACTTTTTAAAATGACTCTTGTAGTTTCTCATAGGTAAAAAGTAATTATTATTTACTCTCTCTTTATATCTATTTAAATGCATTAAATTTAAGTTAAACTACCTATCGCTTGGAAATTTGGGGAAGTCTTATTTAACCAATTTCTAATCATAAAATAGTGATAGTTCATGCACAGTGCACCATGGGAATCTGATGTTGTGATAGCCTCTGAGAAGAGATTATATAAATATACAATATTATTTTCCTAGGAAAGTGTTAAAACAATATTTTCCTAAGATATACTTGCTATATAAAGGGCACATAATTCATTGTTAAACATTACCATGCTCTCAAAACATTTACTCCACCTACAGATTTTGAAACAACTTAAAATACTAGTTTTTATCAAGAAAGTTCTGTATGTCAGTTAGTAAATATTGAAGTTTGGTGAGAGCTACACAAAGAATTTGGCTAGCCAAATATTCACTTAAGAAAAACAAATCTAAAACCACACTTCAACCAAATATATTCAACTCTAGGGTAAACTGCTTTCCCAAGTAAATTCTATAGAAAGCCTTTAACTCATAATTCATTAATACTGGCCCCCTCTTTCATGATAACTGAGAATGCACCAGTCATATTACAAGAGATTTTATTTCAGATATTTGTAAAATGTTCCTGGCCACATTAAAAAGTCAAAATATTAATAATAAGAAAAAACCCATCCATGTTTCTCTGCCTCAGGGCATTAAGCAAAAGGCTCACTTCAGAAGAAGTTGTATCCTAATTAGTAGTAAATTTTATTTAGTTTGTTCTTTAGAAGACATATCACCATAGCAAAATTGCACTGTCTTTAAGCAGTAGAAATATAGCAACAGACCTTAAGACTTCACTGATGACCCAGGGATTAAAGAAACCTAGAATTTTATGCAGTGGAGGAAAATGAAGAATTTAGTGACCCTAAGTATGTCTGTTCATGAGAGAGCTTAGGTAAAAAACATGAAATTATTTATTTTATTTATCACTATTTTTACACTTCTCCATTAATTAAAATTGATAGAGAGAAATATGTATAAAAATATATGATGAAGTTGAAAGGATAGTATATTTGGAGCCCAAAGACCCCAGTTAAAGTCCCAGTTCTCACTTACTAATTTTGTATCATTAGCTTTTTGGCTTCAACATTAAATAGTTCACTAAGTTGTGGAGAAATGGGAAGAGCATCTTTGGAACTGAGACTAGAAATCAGCGGTTTGTTTGGGGTCAAGTTTGCAATGCTTATTAGTTAAGTAAATAGAGATATTGAGTACATAGTTTGGCATATTCACAGGTAATTAAAGAAAAAAGTGGAAATATAAATTTAACATTGAGAGATTGGCCAAAGATGGAGAGAAAAACCTGAATAGTGTGAACACATGGAAGAGAAGAAAGTATTTCAAGAAGAATGGGGGTTAGTCAACTGTGTTGGAAGCTGCTGAGAGGTCAGATAGTATAAAAGCAGAGAAGGTAACAGGCAGTCTGGTAACACAGAGGTCCTGGTTGACCATATTGAGGTAGAGGTGATAATCTGATTAATCTGAGATGATGAGACAATATAAGATGAAGAGGAGACATTGACAATGTTATAAAAATTTGCTGTGAAGGTGATCAGATGAAGGCTCTGGTGGCACGTAGGCCTGTCAGAGTATACTTCCAGGATAGGAGCTATTGGAGTATGTTCACAAGCTGCTGAGAATGACCCACTAGATAACTGCACCAGCAGGGATCTTCAGATAATGAGAAGGAATGGAATCCAAAGTACAATGAAGAAGACAGTCTTTGATAGCAGTAGGTCCACTTCCTTCATAGCAATTGAGTCAAGGCTTCTCCATATAATTCTATGAGCAATTTCAAATCAGTTGGTAGCTTGAATCATGGTTAGCGACCATTTTATTGATAACATCAGAGATAAGGTAAAAATAAAGGCCAAAGGGTGATATAAAGATTTAGAGGAGAAAGGAAATATTCAACATTGGTTTTGATTGTGATGAAAGTGGACATATTCCATAATATAGTTTTGTCCAGACATGTGGCTGACTCATTTGAGACTTACGAATTTCAAATAAAGCCAATTAACATGGTTGTGTTTTAAACCTAGCAAAACTCTTCTGCTAAGGTATAGGTGTGAAGTGGAGAAGGAAGGGAAGAAGTCACTGAGAAAAAAGGTATAGGATGAAGATAAGGAAGAATAAGAAATTATTGATATACCACGATCACATGAGAGGCAGAGATAAGGAAAGCATACAAAGAAATAAGAAAGCATATTATTCTGTCATTTGAAGAAGAAGAGGGGAAGAAGAGGGTGGGTGAGGATGGGAAATATTGAGGCAGAGAACATGAAATATGAAGGAATCTGTATCAGATGGTTTTAAAGTTAGTTAAGTAGAAAGTGTGTTCTTCTATAGATTAATCAGCAGACCAGTGGGGAAGACATGAGAGAAGGAAATAGCTGCAAGAGCTATTAATAGCAGCTAATAATTCAGCTCATTAACATTTTAATATATTTGTAGTAAGAGATACATTACATTATATAACTGAGCCTAGGTGAGAAAGAAGCAAAGGTTAGATGACATAGATCACAGGAGCAGAGGATGAGTCAGTGAAAGAGAATGCAAAAGTTGAAGGAAATGCTTAAAGAGGCATGAGAGAAAGGAATAAAAAATGGGGAGAACAGAAAAGGGTTGACAGGCAAGGTACTCTTTACAGCATCCAGTGTGTCTGATGTTTTGCTATAAGCTAGAGCTGCTGCTTGTACTGCTGGTCCCTTCCCTCCTACTAGTTCCTTTTCCTTGAGCTTTACCTTGTAATTACTAGAGTTCGATAAATACTGCGTGGCAGAAGGGATGAAGAAAGGCAGACTCTTCACAGGGAGAGCCATGGGTCTAACTAAGGGAGCTCCATGTCAGAGGACTTGAGACTTAGCCCTTGCTGGCTACACTGGGTGTCACTCTGCTGACCGTTTTCTTTTATTGTTTTTTTAAATTTATATTTATTGTTGAAACTATTATAGATGCCCCTTTTCTCCCCCATTGACCCCTTCTAGCCCACACCTGCCCCTGCCTCAAGCCTTCACCACACTATTGACTGTGTCCAAGGGTTATGCATATCCTATATAATAAAAGAGTAATACACAAATTGACCCTAATGGCAGAACGACCTGGGAATGACAGGCTGCTATGATGCACACTGACCACCAGGGGGCAGACACTCAGAGCAGCAGCTGTCTCCTGGTGGTCAGTGTGCTCCCACAGGGTGAGCTCTGCTCAGCCACAAGCTGGGCTGAAGGCTGCAAGTGCAGTGGCAGTGGCGGGAGGGAGCCTCTTCCACCACCTTGGCAGTGCTAAAGATGTCTGACTGATGGCTTCGGCCCGCTCCCCATCCTCCAAGGGCTCCTGGGCTGCCAGAGGGATGTCTGACTGCCAGCTTAGAGCGAGCCTAAGCTGGCAGGTGGGCATCCCCCGAGGGGTCTGGGACTGGGAGAGGGTGCAGGCTGGGCTGAGGGACCCCTCTGAGTGCATGAATTTGCATGCACCTAGTAGGCCTCTAGTATGTATATAGTTCTTTGATTGGTTGCTTCCCACCCACCCCATGCCATCCCTCTGCCATTCAACAGTCTGTTCCATATTTCTATTTCCATATGTCTCTGGATCTATTTTGTTCATCCATTTATTTTGTTTTTTAGATTCTACATATTTTCTATTGACTCTGGGGTTTGAACTTCTAAGCTCTCATCCCTACCGCATCCCAGCGGCAAACATTCTCAGGAGCTTTGCATTGGCAAGATATTCAGTGTTGTTCTTTCATTACTCTTGTTTAATACTTGTCAAATGTCACACATTCCCAGGGCTGTGATTGCTGCCACTTACTGTAACACCGTTTTCCATCAGCTCCCAGCTCAGAGCCAGGGTGACAGGCACAAGTGAAAGATCCCACTGAGTTCACACAGCGATGGCCGCAGTGAGCAAGCCCTTCTGCACACTCATTTATGTCTGCAGAGAGAGAAACACAAAGTGGCTGTCTTTGGAGGTTGAATTCTGATTTATGTGTAAACTACAAACATTAACTAAAGCATTCCTCCCCTTCCACTCCCATGTCCAGTGTAACAGTAAAATATCCCAATGAATCCATATTTACAAATAAACTAACTGCTAATGACATTAATTCTAGTGTAGGCTTATGCTCTCAAACACTTATTTCTATTATAACCTACTAGTATTTATTAATTGGTAGAAAGAGAAAAGAACACAAATAAAAAATATAGACATTCTCTATCTCCTAATAATATAGGTAGAAGTCATTACAGTTTGTCTTTGGAATATATATCATATTCATAACCAAATATTGTATTTCCCTGATTTAAGGTAGTCAGTACGTGTGGCCATAGATAAGGCAGGTTTGAATCCTTCATATGTAGAAATCTACAATATATGTTGTACTTATGACTGTCCCTAGGCTGTGCTATTTAAACAGTGGTGCCCTCTCTCCTGACACTGAGAGCCAAGTCTATCCAGTGTCACTTCATTTTGTGGCCCATGTAGTCCTTGCTCCTTCCCTTTAGATGAATAGATCTCACCATCGTTTTTCCCTACTAGAAGGTCCTCCTTGTCATCTGTACCAGGGCACTTAAGAGAAATGCCCATTACGTAAAACCCTAAGTAGGCAGTAATTAGGGGGATAGACTTTCTAAGAAGAATGGTTTTACACAAAAACTTTGAAAGAGATTTTATATAGAGAGATATAAGTGTATGCACATATCTATATATGTATATATCTGTTGATTTCCCATAAATATTTAACAGATCCTATTTTGTACCAGGTGCTGAGCGAGGCAGGTCCTATGTAAACAGAGGACAAAACAGAAACATTTTCTGTCAGAAAAGTGTGTTAACACAGTCCATAGAAAATTCTATCTTAGTTTTGGCTTAAAGAAAAAAAACACACACACACACCTAACACCACTCTTTAGTACTTTTTCATTTTCTCAAAATATTTATCAGTCCCATAAGTCAGGAAACGTTTTGATATTTTTATAATTAATCCAAATATACCACTTCTCATGTCATGAAAATGTTATGATAAAATGAAGGATTCTGCAATTTCTCAGGAGTTATTAAAACAAAACACTGTCCCACAGGAATAACTTCATTTATCAGTTCTGGTCATCAAATAATTTATCACTTTATCTTTGAATTGAAGTATGGCTGTTTTGTTATATCTAGGAAACAGAAATATATAACCTTGAATTTGTAGCTTTCCTTCCTTCCTTCCGTCCTTCCTTCCTTCCTTTCTTCCTTCCTTCCTTCTTTCCCTCCTTCCTTCCTTCCCTTTCTTTCTTTCTTTTTTTGTTTCAATTGCCCCTAACTCAAAGAACACTTTTGGACATACTTGGTTTTCAAAGGTTATCCATACCTTCTGTGGCCTAAAATAAAATGAAAAACTCCCCTATGTGGTTATGGAAGGTTTTGAAATATTAATTCTGGAACTCACTTCAGAATGAGAAACAGAAACCCAAACACATTAATTCTGAAGCTACCCCAGACCTTTTCTTTGTAATTAAAAATGTCTCTGAGTTTTTATAGTATCATAAAATACTTTTCAGAATGATCAAATAAGAGTACAAATGTTCCTTTTTAAGCATAAATGAAAACACCTTTCTCCTAGCTGCTCTAACTATTCAAACTACATTACCACAAAATTTCAAACAATTACATAATTAAGCTATCAGATTCATTTTCCTACCTCTGCAGGCCTTTTTGTCTTCAGACAGCTGGTACCCTGGGTGACAGGCACACCTGGCCACTCCATTCTCACTCTGACAGATGTGGGCACATCCATTCGCACCTGTGCAGGGGTCCATCTCTAAAAGCAATTAAGCAGTGATAGTTTGCAATTAATTAACTTGAGAAAGTTATATAGAGTGGAAGGGTGGAGAAAGGTAAAGAGGGAACTGGGGCCACTGGGTTTCTCACATAAAGATGGTGAGGACACTTGAAAATTCTTTCCTACTTCAGATGCAACTAATTCATCAAAACGTTTCCCACTGTGTGACCTGAACTCCAAAGTCTGAACAAATCAAAACATAGATCAAGGCCAAAGAAGAAGTAGCTTAATTTCACTCTTCCCAAAAGTATACCTGGTGCCCAAAGTTAAATGGAGTCAGCAGAAAATCCTCCACACACCTTTGCTCTTCCCCCACCTTCTCTCTCCATCTTTTCTACAACTTTGAGCAGCAGAATCATCCTTACACAAACCTTTTTACCACCTCTAGACCTTCTCTGCCTCACTGTGTGAGACAAGGCCAACTGGAGAGACAGGGTCAATTCTTAGCTACAGCTGCCATGGAAATGAAAGAAAGAAGTTCAGATCCCTCTGGAATTAGCCAGCTGGCCTCCTTCTCTCCCTCACTTGCTCCCGTCTTAGTATTAGTTATAGTCTCTGAATATCCAAACTAATGTGAAGCCACACATCCTATCAGGAACATCTCCACACAGAGCTTACCGAATTTATGGGTGAAGTGATTCTGGTCTGACTTTGGGAATCCAGCCTTGTCTACATTAAAGGCTGCTAGGGTGGGACTGCAGTCCCCCATATGTAAAAAATATAATGCACAATACAAAGAGCAAAACAATGTATAAAGCTACCTTATCTCCACATTCTTCCCTTTTAATTCAATCACTACCATAGATAAATGCTTTCATGCATTTCTTGTAAATCCTTCCAGACTATGAAAATATAAGTATTACAAATATCTATCTATCATCTATCTATCTATCTATCTATCTATCTATCTATCTATCTATTATCTCAGATGCAATAGACATTGTTTTGCTCCTTGCTTTTACGTAGGGAGAGGTTGAGTTGAATATGCAGACCAATTAGGAAGAGTATTTCTATTTATTTTAGGTCTTAATTAATTTCAACAATGTTTTACAGTTTTCAGTATATAATTTTTGCATTGCTTTATTAAATTTGTTCTTACTCATTTTATTATTTTTGATGCTATTATAAATAGAACTGTTTTTTTTATTTTACTTTCAGATTGTTCTTTGCTAGTGCATAGAAATCCACTTGATTTTTATATGTCGCACTTATTTCCTGCAACTTGATAAATTTTTTATTAGTTCTAATATTTTTGTCAGTGGATTCCTAATATTTTCTACATACAAGATGATTTCATCACCAAATAGAGATGTTTTAACTCCCCCTTTCTAATCGAGGTGATTTTTATTTTATTTTCTTATCCTTTTTGCTCTGGCTATAGTTTCCAGTACAATGTTGAAAGAAGTGGTGTGAACAGATTCTTGTCTTCTCCTGATCTTGGGTAGAAAATTTCCCTAATTAAGTATAATGTTCACAGTGTTTTTATAGGTTTCATCTATCAGATTAAAGAAGTTCTCTTCTATTTCCAGTTCATTGAGTTATATTTACCACGAAAGGATATTTGATTTTTTAGTGTGTTTTTCCCCCCCTGCATCTATTGAGATGATAATATGTGTTTGTCCTTTATTCTATCAATATGGTATATGACATCAACTGATTTTTAGATATTAAACTGACCTTGTTTTCCTGAGAAACATCCTATTTGATCATAGTGTATATTCCATTTTATATATTGTTGGATGTGGTTTCCTTGTATTTTGTTGAGGATATTTATATTTATACTAGTGGCCTTGTGCACGAAATTAGTGCACTGGGTTCCTCAGCCCAGCCTGCGCCCGCCACTGCCACTGTGCTCACCAGCCTTGAGCCTGGCTTCTGGCTGAGCAGCGCTCCCCCTGTGGGAGCACACTGACCACCAGGGGGCAGCTTCTGCATTGGGCATCTGCCCCCTGGTGGTCAGTGCACATCATAGCCACAGGTCATTTTGCTGTTTGGTCGATTTGCATATTAGTCTTTTATTATATAGGATTTATATTCATATTCATATTCATATTGGTCTGCAGTGTTCTTTCTTGTTAAATCCTTGTCTGGTTTTTGTATCAGGGCAATAATACTGGCCCTATAGAATGAGTTGGGAAATGTCCTCTCCTTTTCTACATTTTGAAATAATTTGTGAAGAACTTACATTTATTGTTCTTTAAATGCTTGGAATATTTCACCATTGAAACCATCTATCTGGGCCGGAGCTTTTCTTAATGGAAAGTTTTAAAAATTACTAATTCTATCTCTCTACTTATATGTCTAACCAGATCTTCTATCTTTTAGAAGTCTGATTCAGTAGTTCTTGTCATTCTAAGAACTTGTTCATTTCATCTAAGTCATCCAATTTGCTGTGACACAGTTCAGTGTTACCTTATTCTCTTTTCTATTTCCTGAGGGTCAGTAGTGATGTTCCCTCTTTCATTCATGTTTTAGATAATTTGAGTCATCTCTCTTTTTTTCCTTTGTCACTCTAGCTAAAGGTTTGTCAGTTTTATTTATCTTTTCAAAGAACCACTTTTGGGTTATATTAACTTTCTCTCTTATTTTTCTATTCTCTATTCCATGAATTTCTGTACTAATAATTATATTTGCTTTCCTTTTATTCTTACCTTTCCCTATCATTTTCCTACTTCTGTTGCTTCTGCCTAGTATCAGTTCTCTATGAAACTCTTAAATTTAAGTCTACAGATTCAATCTGCCCCCACATTTGACCCTCTCCTCCATCCTTGCTGGACCTTTTTGGTTTTGTTTGCTTCCTTCATTGCATCTGTATGTTTTGTCACAGGGTGAGAAGAAGATGTTGACCTATACAGCCATATTTATATTAGAAATTTGATATTTTTAATCCATACCCCCTATCACCAGCTCTCAAGACAATGAGTAGGTAACATCTCCTCTTACCCTTGAAAAATGAGGGATTGTTTCTACCAGAAGAAAGATTGTAAAGTAGATTTCAATTATCTTTGATATGCTTTTCTCATCAACCACTACATCTGGGAACCTTTTCTCTAAACTTACTTTAATTTCCTATTGTCATTAATGCCTTCTTAATGCCTAAGGTCTTTAACTATAAGGTGTTGTTACCGTTCCAGAAAAGGGCTAAATATAACCTCCCTACAGCAAATCCCAGTACTATCAAAAGCAATTTAATGAAGAAAGATAACCTTTTCAACAAATGTATAGGCAACCAAATAAATCTTGACCTAAATTTCAGATCTTACAAAAACTTAACAAAAAAATAGATTAAAAACTTAAATGTAAAAAAATAACTTAAAAAAATAGAAAAAAATCAGCCTTATTAATACCACTAAAACTGACATCAATCCAGATAAAAATGTATAAATAAACTGGCATATTCATACCATGCAATACTATAAACTACTGCTACAAGCAATAACTTGGATGAATCTCCAGAGAATTATGCTGAGTGAAAAAAGCTAATCCATAATAGTTACATACTATGTAATTCTATTTATATGACATTCTTGAAATGACAAATTATAGAAATGGATAGCATAGTATTTGTCAGGGGTTAGGGAGGGAATACGCATGAAAGGAAAGTGATGATGGCTGTTAAATGGCAACATGAGGGATCCTGTGGTAATAAAAAAAAGGTCTGAAAATCTTGACAGTGTCAATATCAATATCCTGGTTGTGATATTGTTTTGTAATTTTGCAAGATGTCACCATTGAGAGAAACTGGAAAATGTACATGAGCTCTCTCTATATTATCTGATAAAACTGCAGATGAACCTAAAATTATCTCCAAAAAAAGTTTAATGAAAAAAGCAAAGCAATATGAAAACAAAATGAACAGAATTTAAGTGACCAGTGGAAAAAAAAACATATAATAAACTAGAATTTCAGAAAGAGAGAATTAGAAAAAGAAAAAAAAATGTTGAAAGAAAATAACTAATTTTCCAAATTTGAAGAAAATTAAACCCACATACTCTAGAGTCTCAATTAACTCGAGCAGTTATTAAACATTTATCGGCACAACACTGACCACATTGGTGGTGGTGGTGGTGGTCTTGTCAGAATGTGTTATATTATGCAGATGAAAATCTATTTAAACAGATTTGATGTAGATATTTTCAAAGATGGAAGAATTGTCCCTGTCAACTATTTTAGTTGATTCATATCTTCAGTAATTGTCATCATTGCAAAGTTTTCAGTCCCCATATGGATTGCTGGATATAATAGGTCATGCGCTGTCCCTGTCCTTTGTAGCCTTTGTTACCTTAAGGACTCTAGTTTTCCATTTATATGTTTAAGTACCAACCTTACCGGCTTAAAAATGTAAGCTTTTAACACTGCTCTCTCTGTTCCGTATCCTTCCGATAAAAAGTGGAGTTGGGTTGCAGCACAGGAGAGAAATTCAGAAGGGGAATATTGAAGTAATGACTACAGTAGGAGAAGAGGGAACCTGTTTCCCTGGCCACAGGCGTTGGCGCCCTGGACCACAGGGCTGGTAGCTTCTCCGGGTGGCTGCAGCCTGGGACCTCTGGCCAGTAGCTTGTCCATCTCCTGG